ATGACCCACACAGTTTTGAAAACTCCCCATTGTCTTTTCTTTCCCTGCTTGATGCAGTAACTTTGAGAGAGGGTGCAACTTAGGCAAAATTAGTGGCGATTGTACATAAGCATTGTTTTAAATAATTTGAACATATAATAAAAGCCTGGTTGGCAAAACTCCAATGTTGCAGCAGTTTCAGACAAATGCTAGTTAATTGTTCTACTTTAAAATGATCTATTATAAAAAGACCTCCAAGTAAATATGTAAGTATTAAAGTAAGCAGATCTCAGTATATATTATCTACCAAGCAGAACATGATAAAGACCAGTTACAGAAGTGAACCCACGTCTACCACCTTTCATCATAGAAGTGTATGCCATGCCCACGGCTCTCTATAGTTTAGTTTACGTACAGTATCATTCTCTGAATTATCCTATTAACCTACCGAAAAATGCTTAATCATAAATTTACATAACATAAGTCTTTACTAAACTAAATTTTGTGGAGAAACAAATTAATGAGAGCTAACCTCAAAACATTTTCGGTTAGCTATGCCAGCTGTGAACTGGGGCAGCGCGTTGTCCTTGTGTGCACATTATCTCAGCACATTATCTGAAGGTCAGTATGACCTTCAGAAGGGCTTGCTTCTCTTTCACATTTTTGCCCTTTAAGATGCGCAATTTTTCTCCCCAAACCTATAAAGTTGAAATTTCGTGCCTCCTCTCTCTCTTTTTAAAGAACTATCAGAGCATATTCTTATCCCAGCCCTGGTTGATTCTGGACAAAAATCAGTGGGAGGCAGGTTGGGTTCCCTCCATCCTGAGCCTACACTCTGCCTTATACCTGAGGCTTTACCTGCCTCATTGTCTACCAGAGCCTGAGGACAGAGGTTAGGATCATTCTGGCTGTGCGGGGAGGGGGGGGGGTTCTTTTGTACTTCTAAGGTAAATTTTAGATGCATATACATTTGTTTTTGCTGTAGTTAGTACAAAAGCCAATGTAATTTACTCAGTTGGGATCCTTGGGACCTAGAGTTTGTGACCCTGTCTCCAAATTGGGTCCTTGATCTATAGCCAATGACAAAAAAATTTGATGAAAATACTATTTAATTAGTGTTTGTCTGTATGTGTGTGTGTATGTATGTGTGTGTGTGTGCATGCACGTGCATGTGTTTAAGTATATATAGAGAGAGAGGAATTTTTTTTTTTTGGTGGAACTGAGGATTGAACTTGCCAGGGAAGCACTTATTCTACTGAGCCATCTCCCCGGCCCCTATAGAGAGGAATGAAAGGAAAGAGAAAGGAAGCAAGGAAAGGAGGAGAGAAAAAAGGAGAAATGAGAGAAAGGAGGGGGGAAATAAACAATAGATCAGAGGGATGGAGGAAAGGCAAAAGAAGAAAAGAAGATATTATTTTGAAAGAACACTCTTTGAGTAAATATGTTTGATATTCAGACAGAAAAGGAGGTTAAGCTTAACTGCCTGTGTTTTAAGGTAATAGTAATAAGCTTCTCTTCTGTAGGGTTAACAACTTAAGTTTATAGACCAAATATTAGAGAAAAAGAAGGGCTGCAATGACAGTCAAATTTTTGGCCTTAGCCTTTCAAGCTCACTGAGGACTCAGGACATAGGAGAACCTGTACTGTAATACCATGTAACTCAGTTGTGTCCCAAATTTTCTGATCAAGGAAATTATGGGAAAGTGATCGATGATGTAGAGTGTGCCTAAGGAGAGTCACATGGAGAGAAAACATTCTCTCAGGCTTTCGCAGAGAGCAAATTGGCCAAGCAATGGCCGTGACTCATCCACATGGCTGACACTGACAAAGGTTCTACAAACTGCAGTACAGGGTTTCAGGGTAAATCCTGAAGGAGTTTAACTGACCTTGTCAGATACAAAACTTACATTTCTTGCTATATAGGTCTTGCTTTATCTTGGTCTTAACCATCCAGCAGAAAAGTACAAAAACAAAGTATAAAAAGTAAAGCCATATTAATATGCTGAGCTGTAAAAGGCTTGTCAACAACTTCTGACATTGCCAGTCCCATGGATAACCCACTACTATTTTAGACTACTGGACTATATTAGATTACTCTGCTGAATTCATGCACCTA